AAGACCTTTAAGATCATAGGGTCCAACCATCAAACCAGCCCTATGTCCGCCACTAGACTATGTCCCTAAGCATGACATCTGCTGTCTTTTAAACACTTCCAGGGATGGTGGCTCAACCACCTCCTTGGGCAACCTGTTCCAGTGCTTTGACAACCCTTTCATTAAGTTACTGAAAGACCTTTGTTGTGTGCTTGGTGATGCTCAACCATTATGTTAATAGGTAACATGCCTCTAATGTTATCCTTGAAGTATGATGCCTGTGTAATGGATGAGATACTTGCAAAATGTGCCAGAGTGTTATTCTTGGGGCGGGGGGAGGTGGAATCTCTAAAGCATGCATATCTCCTGTGGGTTTACCAATATGTCTGCACCTATGTCTTCTGAAGTACCAGAAGATATGGGCACAATATTTCTTGGCCCCTACTGAAGCTGCTGGTTGTAATTGTGATCAGCAAACTATAGAATTAAAAATCCTGATGTTCTTTCTAGAAGATTTTCTGTGTCATTGGGAGAAAAGCCTTCATCTGGGTGTTGAAATGCTATAGTCACAGTAGCAATTAAGGGTGCTTGGCAAAGGAAGAGCTCTTTCCTAGCACACAAGGTCTACCAGACCTCACTTATGCTGAAATACCCTTTCTACATTATGACACTGAGTGGTTTCTCTAACAGTACCCAGTGAGGCAAGGTAGCATCCCACTTTGCAGATTGTTAAGCTGAAGCATAGTAAGTCAAAACGATGCCCCCACAGTGCCAGAGAGGGAATGTAGCAAATTATGAGAAGGAATTGAAGATCCTTATCTCTGAGGTCTTTGAATGATGATGCATTAATGTTCAGAAATATACCATCTTTCTTACTGTTGAGAATAGCGAGATGTGAGTGTTGAGATGTGAGCTGTGAAAGGTCAGGTAGTTTGACTCAGTGGAATTACTTCTATAAAAGATAAACTGCAGATTCCCACCAATGCTGTGCTTCTAGCTGACCTAACAATTCTTCCATTCATGCTTAAGTTGACATCAGGTTGCAATCACCTTGACTACTGTAGATGGAATATCATAATTCAAACCTACACTGGCTGATAGTCTTTGTTCAGAACTGTAAATTTAGAGGATGATCAACTTTTTCTGCTGAGATTCATATGGTTAAGTAGTAAACACTCAGGGAGAACAAGTGCACTCAATGACAAGAGAGTTGGACTGTGTATCAGGAGTTGTATTGTCTGTCCTGGAGAGGTCACCTATAACTGAACCATTTTTTGTTCACTGTAGCCAACAGTATAAAATATATTCTGAAGATGTCATTTTCTGCACTTAGAAGCATGCAAATGGTAACACTCCTCCTGATCTTGTCATGACCCTCATCTTCTCCACTTCAGTAGCATAATTAGGAAAAATCAGCTCTACCACCTAAGTTACACTTGCAGTGAAAGCCTCCAGCTGCAGTCAACAGGACATGTGTATGCATACACATGTGATAAATAGCTACATATTCACAGAATGGTGATAAGTTTCCAGGATGCAGTTTCACTCAAACCCAGGTGCAAGGTTTTTAATGATAACTCTATGGGAGCGTTGTTCAGTTGAGGAGAGTCCATCCTGAATATCTAGGGTATTTCCATTTTGGAGGAAGCACTTCCAGATATTTGGAAGGATACAATCTTAGCCAAGAATTTAATGTATCTTAAATGTTGGTACATTGCTGTTACTGTTTTGAGTAAGTTTATTTCTTTTTTCCCCCCAAATTCTGCAAACAGCCTGTATCTCTGCATTTCTTCCAGAGATGGTTTTCAAGAGCAAATAGTAAGCTCACAGTGTACTGTCTCCTTATCAAAAGGCTTTTTAAATATAATTTACCAAATACCTAATGTTATATCAATATACATTCCTGTTACCTGTGGCTCAGTCCCATGATGTATGGAATAATCTCGCCTTCTACTAAAGAAAATGAGATGTGAGAGCACCAAGCATAGGGAGTCCAGCAACAGAGAGACAGACTCAGCTGTCTGCCAAATACTGATGATTTCTCTATACTTGAGAAGCTATCACTGTCTCTGCCTCTCAGCTTCTCTGTTACATATATGACTGGGCAATAGAAAGGAGATGAAAAGCTGACCTTCTAAATGTTCAGTCTGAGAATTCTCAAATGCTTTGCTGTACCAGAATGCAGGTCCATTTTTCAGGACTAATTTGTGCTGATACTAGGTGGTACAATGATTATGCAATTGTGCAGGCACTGAGAGTAGCAGGAGTACACTATACTCTAGTTATATACTTTACCAGGCCACGTTGGAAGCTTCTTGCCATCTGAAAATTTCTTCATGCCAGGGTAGTACAAAAGGCACCCTGACATGCACCTGAATTCTGTACCTGGCATTAGCTATTTAGAAAGCTTTGAGAAGTTCTACTTTTCCAGCTGACTTTCCCAGCTGACCAAAAAAGCCTGATGATAAATAAATACCGTATGGCTGAGGCTTTGTTTTATCACTATCATGATTAGTGGGAAGTCATTGTGCCTGCACTGGTAAATTTTTACGGCAGTTTTTTCAAAGTCGTCCATACTCATTGTTTGTGTGGATTGCTTTATATAGATAGTGGCATTCTTTGCAGAAGAGAGAGGATGTCAAGTCTCATTTCCTCACTTAATTCCAGCTTGGGCAGTTACATTTTTGTCTGCCTGATTTCTCCACTGTGATTTCAGGCGAATATTTGCTTCTATCTTCATATATCATGTTGTTTTATTCTCTTTAAAGCACTGATGTGTTTCACACCAAAGGTGTCTACTTTTAGGTCATGTGGGATGAAATGTGGCTTGCAAATATAAAGAATAATTAGTATTATTTATGAACGATCTGAACAATTCTCTAGAAGTATTAAAAGGGAAGCTGGTTAATATGCTTAGGGAATGTTAAATGTTCAG